CAGAAGTAAATATTGCTATCCTCCTATGTAGCTCAACCGCATGAATTTAAACATACTACTAGATTGGCAACTAGGTCTCATCGTTTTATTGTTGAAATAGCTGTATGTAACCATAAGTTCTATTCTAATAGTTTATTTTCTTGTTTGTGGATTTCTTGCTGCCCTGATAACTACAAAAAAAAGAAGTTTAAATGCAACATAAATCGCCATATTTGGTCTTCCTGAATCCTTTCCTTTTATCGTCCTGTCTCCTTTCAATCCTTTCAGATTTTTTTTAAGTGGAGAGGGGGGATCTACTTTTATATTGTATGGAAGATCAAAATCAATAATTTACCAATTGTTACTTCCCTTATCTATAATAATACGGCTGGGCCTTCTTCCTTCAAAGTAATCCTGAGTAAGATGATAAACTACACCCGGCAGTAAGCCCTCTGATCGGGATATTGGAGGTTCTAATGAGCTGTTGTTCCCAGGTCCACCTGACCCGTCGTGGTAGCATCTGTTAGGTTCCCAGCTATGGGCAACTAGTGAACCTCCCCCGCAAACAAAAACAATATGAAATTATAAAAATACCAGCAGTACTTTCTTCTATAAAAAAATACCCATAATACATAGAAAAATTACCAATACATTTATATCAAAATGACCAACAATGACCAAGGCATTCAATTGTGTTCAAAATATATTTAGTTGAAGGCATGCAATTGCTTTCAAAATATTTACATTTTGGCATTAAATAATTCATAGAATATGCCATCAAACAAACTCAACCAACGATCATGAAATAACTCTTTCATGAAATGAATCTATATACACTGATCCCTCGTTTATCGCGTTAGATTGGTTTCGAGCCCGGTCGCGATAACTGAATTTCCGCGAAGTAGGGACGCCATATTTACAGTATTTATTTAACGTGTGTTTGGACTTTTAAAACCCTCCCTGTACTGTTAACAACCCACCCATTACAGTACTCTATTAATAACAAGGACAACTGTTAAGCAATAACACTTTAGATTAAAAAAATATAAAGATTGTTACTGTATTTAACACGAAAGAAGTTGAAGTAGAATTTGAATGATGATGGTGATGAATTTGCTACGCAGTAGAAATGATGATGATGAAGCTGATGATGACTTCTACTGTGCAGCCGATAATTGTATTTTACGTCTCTTCAGACGGCGGTGCCCTTTCTATTGCTATTTTACGCTTGTTTTGTTGTTCCTAGAACAGGAAATAATATTTATTATTAATATTTTAATGGGTTTGATGAAAAATTTTAGGCGTTCATATATCGCGATTTTTCTAGAATCTTCCAGAAACTCTGCGATATATTTTCCATATATATATATTTAAAAAGTCCGCGAAGTCGTGAATCCGCGATAGTAGAACCGCGAATTAGCGAGAGATCACTGTAATATCTTAAAATTTCTTAAAGAAATCAAATTGTATTACAAAATATAGTTTCAACAAAAGTACAACGTAAAATACACACATCACCGCCTCTAGTAATCATGTTCACACAAACATGCATATGCACAAAAGCTGAGTATCATCTACCATGTAACCACTTGTGAAAACAGAATAACGTATATCGTATTTTTATCACTTTCAAGCCCCCAAGGAAATTAAACTTCGACATTAAATGACCCATAAGGAGTTGATATGCCGTGAAATAAACGAATCAGTCCATCAGTGACATGATTTGTCTTGACCGAGAAATCGCACATCTTGTGTGTGTCATTTTCTACAACTGCATCTGGTTGATATTCCTTAGCATTTATCTTTAACATTGAAGACACATTTACTACGTTCGTATTATTATTATTAAAGTGTGAAATTTAACCGGTAACTGCTTCATTCTTCAAGTTAGAGTATTTTAACGGTATTGCTCTGACAGGAATCTCGCTACGATGTGCCGTTTTTGTTGTGCTATTGAAATCCTAACAAGTACACAAACGAAAATATATAACAGTACATATATTTATTTTAATAATCTAATTGGAGAGAAAAACTTGGCTCTCAACCAACAGAATGAAGTCAACGTCCGTTCGGTGCACCTGAACACAGACGAAATGTGTTCGGCTGTGCCAATCAAAATCTCCAGTGCATCCGGGTTTGATAAATTCGTTTTGATCACGCTAAAATTTGATTGGCTATCCAACGTTATCTGCTTGAAATTGATAATAAAATTTATCAATTATATATATATATATATATATATATATATATATATATACATATATATAAATATAATATCGGACATAAATAAAAATATATATATATATATTAAATATATATAATATTTTATACATATACATAAATATAAACATATATATAATATAGATACACATATATATATACATAAATATAAACATTTATATAGATGTGTATATATATATATATATATATATATATATATATATATATATATTTTAAGTTTTACATATATATATATATATATATATATATATATATATATATATATATATGAATGAATACACATATTTTCCTCGTCGGTTACCATTGATTTAAATGAATCAAAACTTGAAGAAATTCGTTTTTGTAAAATATATTGTTCCAGTGAATAAAAAAATGTATTTTTATTAATATATAATTTATACCAAAAATGGATATATATAATATATATATATATATATATATATATATATATATATATATATATATATATATATATTCTGTATATCGTATGTATCATGCGAGTTCCTTTTTGAGATATCATAATCGCAACAGACTAACCTCTTTTCCTCTATCTCTTTATTTCATCTTTAAGTTAAATAAGTTAAAAAAGTAAAAGAGAATGATAAAAGTATACGCTATACTCGTTGCGTAAATGCGTACAGCCATAAGCAACCGCACGAGAAACAACTAAACATCTTATAAACGCAGACAATGGAAAAGATGCGTATTCGCTATTTGTATATTACATGCATTATTATTGGATAAATTTAAATAAAACATCAGTTTTATCAAAATCATATTTATTTTAAATACCGCTGGACTTTTTGACTCCAGTAAATGAATATATAGTTTGGTTAATGGCGTAGCCAGAGCCAGCAGTACATACATTAATTTTATATCTTGTTTATGATACGACCCTCTTAAAATTAGCTACAAAATAAGGGAAGAAAAGTCATTTATGTTTTTTATTAATTTTTTATCACAACTTTTCAGACCTTTTTTAATCTTTCACTGAGTTTTAATTGCCCGGAAAACTTATATCCTGAAAAAAAACCAATTTTTCCCACAGATGAGGTCCCAAAGCCTCTTGTTACCTGGTACTATTTTATATTTTGCGTATGTTTTTGAGTTATTAAGTTTAAAGTTTACTGTAGACACTGTTAAATGTACAATCGAAGATACAACCCAAAAATACTTTTACAAACTTTAGGGGAGGGTTCCTGACACCAAAACAAGGTAAAATGTAAACAAGACTGAAGAGACAATCAACGGATCGGCAGTTTGTGTAATAAATCATCGGCAAATGTTCTCCGGTGGTGAGTGATCAGAGAGCAAAAGACCCTGCAAACGATACGGATAGTGGAGCTGCTCTTAAAGTACTGTGCGATATACGACATACTAGGGCTACTTAACGTGTGCTGATATCTGGATCGCCTCCGACAGGCTGTAGAATGTGTTCTTGGTGGTCAGGTGTACGAGCGTATCTCAGTCTTCCTCGATCCATAGTTTGTGGGGCCACGGATCCTGTCTCGGCAACACGACAATAAACAGCAGCAAAGGTTGAATGACTCGGCTGACTTCGGTCTGGAAATGCAATCCGATACAGCCGTACAGCCTCACGTCCATTACCATTCGCGCGGCCGCATGTAAAAATCATCTCTGCCTCCTCACGATACGAATATCCTGGCATTGTTAAACGGAACACTTCTCAATTAACTCATTACTAAAACGTTAAACGTTGACGCCAGGGAGAACCACAAACCAACACGAAAAAAAATGTTAATCTAGTCTACATGGCAACAGAGCGCCATCTACCGTAAATTTTCTTTAATCTTAATAACTCAAATGAAGGATTTTGTATACATATGTTCATATTGACATTTGTCCTTGTCTCGGCGAGAGGAACTCACCTCAAAGTTTGTAAAATTAATTAAATAAATATTCCTAAATAAATAAATTATTTGAATTATGTTATCTACCATCGCCCGATGAGGAAACATTAAAGTTCCGAAACATGGAAGTTTTTCTGTAGCGATGTAAAAATGTTTTTATTGTAGTCTATTACAATAAATATATTTTTAAAATATTATATATATGTAAAAATGTTTTTATTCTAATCTATTATGGGGTGAAATCGACTGAAAAAAAATTTAAAATTACCTAATTTGAGAAGTCCTATATGTTGGATAATGGCTGAGGGAAGACCTTTGGAGTTACTGGCGTACAAGAATTCGACTTTAAACAACCTAACAATGATAGAGATATCATAAAATCAACTGACCTCACTCAGAATGGGGTCATATGTAGCGAAACCAATTTTGTTGACCATTACTACTGAGTAGTAATGGTCAACAAGATTGGTTTCAAGATTGGTTCGATCCTCACTCGGTGCCCCGTACAAAAATTCAAAATTAAATAACCCAACCAAACAACAACTTTTATACTTAAAATATTTTTTTAAAAAGACAACTAGATGGCAAGCCAGTAGCTACTTTTCGCTATTTCCATGGCAATTATTCTATTAGTCATTGTAATTGACCACTGAAGATGATCTTAGAAAAGGTCGAAAGTACTTGAATTAAAAAGAAAAAACCACGAAGCCTTTCTTGATGAATTTCATCTTAACATCCAGAAACTGATTAAACAACTGACAAGGTTCATTATAAAAATAGTAATATTTCTGTCTCCCGCAGACATTATATATCAAATATATATATATATATATATATATATATATATATATATATATGATATACAAATCATTTCAAACGGATTTCGCGTGACTAAAACGGAAATAATTAATGGAAATACAAGAGAGTGCACTTCCGGAGACTGTCACTCTGGGAAAACACGTCTCTCTCTCTCTCTCTCTCTCTCTCTCTCTCTCTCTCTCTCTCTCTCTCTCCTTCCCAGTGTATTTATGTAGGCAGAGGCCCAGTCAGTAATGGCCTATAAACTCACTAACCCAATAACCAAAACCACAAGGGCTCATCTCTACTGGTGAATCGTGCGTAGTATCGAGTGTTTTCAAAGGCTTACAGAAATCCCTGTTCGGCAATTGTACCTGGCTGAGTGTCGGAGAGAAGGCCGATTGATCGCTTTATCGAATGTTACAATTGTGATGAATTGGGTGTCTGAGGTTCCCCACCAGATAAAGCACTGAAAGCAGCCCTCATAAGAAAAAAAAACAGACGGATAAAAAAAAAACAACAAACAGATCGTCAACATGGCGCTTAGTTTTGGTGAAATGATTAGCGAGCCAGTTTCACGCATCATTACGGCCGAGTAGTGAATTAGATTCTCACAGGCAAACCCGTGCTGGGTGGTTGATGCCAGAGCTAAACCGAACTTAACAAATAAATAACAGAGGGCCGACAAAGGCACGAGCAAAAATAGGTTAACTCTTTTCCCTAAAAACAACAATCCTCACTGAGCGCCCCGTCCATGTTCCTTCTGCCAGAACTAAATGAACTCCAGTCACTTTCTCACCGATGTGACGTGGCTTCCTTACGTCTCTTCGACAAATATTTTCATGGGTACTGTATCGGGCTAGCTTTTTCACCTGGTGCCCCATCTAAGCATGCAACTAGATTGGCATTTAGGTCCCACCCGTTTACTGATGAAATAGCGAAATGCAACCGCTACTTCTACTCCAACAGTTTCTTTTCTCGCACTTCTCGCTTATGGAACTCCCTTCCGTTTACTTGCCTTCCCACAATCTTCAAAAATTTAAATGCAACCATTTAAAATCAACCTTTTATCAATCGACAGCTTCTATCTTCTTGAATCCGGTTCATCTTTTGTCCTTTCTTCAATCCTCCCTATACTCAGTCTTTTCTCTCACTCCCTGTAACTCCCTGCGTACGAGTGGCATTCCTGCTTTGCTTGGAATTAAATAAAAAAAATTCCTATAGTATTGGGTGCACTTGGAACAGCCGATGGAAGCTTGAAAGAACGTTTAGAGAAAATTGGAATTGAGCTCAAGATGTCGACCTCATCATTTACTCTGCGAGGATTCTTCGAAAAGTTATTGTGTTGTAAGGACGCCATCCCCCTAGGACAGAATTTCCAATGACTACGTCAATGTGCGACACAACCACCACCACCGACAACAACAACAACACCATAATAATAATAATAATAATGGTTTGGATTATTTTGTTTTACGGCATATCAACATCAATGGGTTATTTAATGCCGACAACATTTTTAGGATAGATTCGTATGAATAGACTATATATTCTTTGGTTTAGATTGGTTTGGTTTATTTTGTTTAACGGCATATCAACCTTAATGGGTTATTTAATGCCGACAACATTTTTAGGGTAGATTCGTATGAATAGAATATGTATTCTTTGGTTTAGATTGGTTTGGTTTATTTTGTTTAACGGTATATCAACCTTAATGGGTTATTTAATGCCGACAACATTTTTAGGATAGATTCGTATGAATAGAATATGTATTCTTTGGTTTAGATTGGTTTGGTTTATTTTGTTTTACGGCATATCAACCTCAATGGGTTATTTAATGCCAACAACATTTTTTTTATTGCTGGTAATATTTTGTTTTGTCAAAAATCTGTTTCTGGTAATATTTTTCATTCATAATTGTATTGCTGGTAATAATTTTTCAAAAAAGTGTTGCTGGTAATAGTTAACTATTTGCCCATAGCTGGGACCCTAGCAGGTGCTACCACCACGGATCAGGGTGGGTCTGGGAACACCAGCAATTAAGAGGTGGTTCCATGCTCCTCAAAACCTCCTGATCAGAGGCCTGGCTGCTGGACGTAGTTTATCGTCTTACCCAGGACGCGGATGTAGTTTAACGTCTTACCCAGGTCGAAATAATAACAACATCATCCAGACCTGGTTACAGAGATATGATCTGTAACAATGTTATGGGACTCTACAACACACAGAAACAGAACAAACAAAGATAATCGGCCGGACGTCGTGATCAAAGACGACAAAAACAGAATGTGCTTTCTTATTGACATCGAAGACCCTTTAGATTTTAATGTATCTTTGAAGATCTTAAAAAAAAAAACTATCAAAATACAAAGATCTTGAAATGAAAATATTAAAAAATGTGTCACATGAGAACATAAATAAGTCCAGTTGTAGTTGGAGCCCTCAGATTGATTGGAAAAGGTTCCGACAGATTCATTGAAGGGATGCTTGGTAATCCATGCCTTAAAGAAATACAATAAAATTGTATTCACAAGTACAGCTCACACACTAGAAAGAGCTTTATCTATATAAAATGTGTGTGATCTTAGTGAGGAGATTACAAACACGATCTGTTGGAAATGTCATGAAGTCATTTCAGGACCTTAGGTCTCTGATTGGGACCCGGAAAGAAATGTGTATACAACAGAAACACAAGGAAACAATAATGATAATAATAATAATCGCAGAACAATCGAAAAACTTGGAAAGTTCACAATATTCTGTGACTATAATTACCCACAACTGAGTTGTGAGAACGATTCTCACTAGGTGCCTGTATTTTTTGTATTTTTTTGTTTTTTGCCAAAAGTAAAGTAACTTAATCCGACTCAATCGTAAGATCGATTCCCTCTAGATCTTTGCTACCTTGTATTACGACTATGATAACTTTAGAAAGTAACTAGGATTGAGTAGTAAAATCTTGCCTCACTAGGTGTCCCGTCCTTGCTGCCTTATACTGTCTTTGTTATCATCACATTATTAAATTCACAATTTAATCTTCTAGCCTACTGTTTTTGGACAATTTTGAATAAACATGGAGCTCTAAACCTAAAAAACCTGGAAATTAGTTTCCCTGCTTGTTTCGTTTTGGCTACACCCAGCAAAGCTCCTCTCAGGTTTGGGCATTACGTACTTGAAATCAATGGAAAAAAATTGAGCCATAACAGGGCATTACTAAATAAGAACAAGACAAAATATCCCTATAAATGATCAGCGGAATGAGAACAATGTAGACCCGTAGATTAAATAAAAATTCAGTTTGAAATTCTGACGGAAATTTTTGAATCGGCAAGATGAAGGTCAGGGGGTAATTAAAGATCATTGAAAAAAACGGAACAAAAACGACGACACTAGTATGCATGTGATAGAACAAATATTGATAAATTCTTATGCTAGAAATTAAAACAGAACAGGTTCAACTGTCAGAGCAATGTTGAATGACAGTTCCCAATGTTGAAGACAATTGCGTCCGTGAGTTTGGCTGTGGAATTTCGTGATTTAAAATGCACAGATCCCATAGAAATTGCGCATGATACTGGTAAAATAGTTCAATACGTGACCATTCTTTCTTACTTTCAAGACTGAAGAACTCCATCAAGTATCATGGCTGCCTATCTTTATAGATTGCAATAAAATGTCACTTACACCCATCTTTAGTATAAGCAACGACCACGAACACAGATTTGATATTAACCGAGAGCTTCACATTTGTAATTTCAGTGTCAAATCCCGATGTCGCAAAAATTTGACACTGATCGATATTGCCAGAATCAATGAGCTGTAGATCTTTCTTTCTTTCTTTCTTTCTTTCTTTCTTTCTTTCTTTCTTGTTTTATTTCTGACTCTTTTTCTTTCTTCCTTTTCTGTTCTCATTTCTATCTTCTATTATTTCTTTCTTTTCAAATATTTCTCTCTTTTCTCTTCATTGTCTTTCTTTCTGGCCTTTATCCTATTCTTTTTCGTTCTCCATTAGATCCTGAAATTTCATCCACTTCCTTTTTCTTTCTTTTAGCCTTATAATTTTTTCTTTGGCTCTTTCTTTTTTTTTTTTTAGATTTTAATTCTTCCTTTCTTATTCTTTTTTTTTCTTTCTTTTCCCCATTTTTCTTTTCTTTCTTTTCTTTCTTTCTTCTTTCCTTTTTATTTTTCTTTCCTTCCCTCTTTCTTCTTCCTTCCTTAATAATATTCCTTCATTTCCTTCCTCCTTTCTTTCCTTTCTTTCTTATTAATCCTAGACTTCCTAATTTATTCTTCCTTCCTTTCTTTCTTTCTTCATGGCTTTCTTTCTTTTTTATTAATCCTTTCTTTCTTCTTTCTCCTTCTTTCTTTTTTTCTTTCTTTTCTTTCTTGTTCTTTATTTTTCTTTATTCTTTCTTTCTTCCTTCCTTCCTTCCTTTCTTTTTTCCTTTCTTCTTCCTTTCTTTCCTTTTTTTCCTTTCATTATTTCTTATCCTTCTTTCTTTCTTTTTTTTCTTCCTTTCTTCCTTTTTTTTCTTTCATTTTCTTCCTTTTTTTCTTTTTCTTTCTTTTTTTTCTTTTCTTTCTTTCTTTTTCTTTTTTCTTTTTTTTTTTTCTTTATATTGGTTTCATCTTTCTTTTTTTTTCCTTTTTTAATTTTTTTTTTTTTTCTTTCTTCATCATGTTATTTTCTTTCATTTCTTTTAATTTTTTTCATCATTATTTATTTTTTATTTCATCACTTTCTTCATCATTTGACCATTTTCAATTCTCAGTAATCATTTTAATTTATTTTTCATCATCTTCTTTTCAAAATTTTTTCCATTCTTTCAATATTTTTTCAAAAATTTCATTCCCATTCATCAATCAATATTGACTTTCGTCAGAAATTATTACCATCATCATTATACTTCATCATCATCATTTCTTCATCATCATTATCAAAACATTTTTTCAAATAATAAAATTTTTTTTAATTTCTTTCAATTTAAGTTCTTGATTTTACAACTCCACTTTTATCGGTCTATATTCCTGGACTTTTTCTTTAGACTTTTTTTACAATTCTTTGAAAGATTTTCTTTTTTGCTGATAATATGATTTTGAATGAACTTGTTTTCTTAATATATTTGTTCTTTAATCAAATTCATTTTAAATCGACATTTTTTTTCAAAAAATTTTATAAAAAAGTTCTACTGTTTCTCTTGATCTTTCTATTTCGAAATCATTGTTTTTTCTTTTTGAAATTGGCTAAATAAAAGTTTTGGAAATTTCAAAGGCAATGATTCAATTAAAATCAATCTATCTTATTAACCAATTTTTCTTTTTCTTTTTTTTCACAAAAAAATCATGATGGAATGAAAAAAAATTTAACCGTTTAAAATATTTATTTTTGTTTACCGATTTTTCTGGAAATTTATTTATTTATAAAAAATATTAAATTTATTTTAATTTTCATTTATTCTTAATTTAATATCATTAAAGCTGATTGGATTAATTTTTCTTTTAACATTTTTCTTCTTTATCATTTTTTTTTTTTTCTATTTTTCTTTACGAAAAAAAGGAATTTTTTTTGTTGATTTGACGCCTATTTCTTTTCTTTCTTTTCATTTTTCTTTTTTATTCCTTCATTCTAAAATAATTTTCATTATCTTTTCCATCACCTTTCAATATTTCTACCCTCGCCTCAATATTTATCTCAATAATGTTTGCAATTTCTTTTAACTTCAAAATTTTTTATTTATTTTCCCATCCAATTTTTAAAATCATTTGCAAGATTTTTTTTTGAAATCCATTTTTTTCTTTATCGTTTCTTTTCCTTTTCTCTAATTAATTATCCAAAAATCATTCTTTATTATTTTTTATTTCATTCTTTTCAATAATGAAACCATCTTTTCAAAAAATTAAAGAATGTCTTTCATCAAAAAAATTTTACTGATTTTCTCATTCATTTTGCCTTTTAATTTTTTCCAAAAACTTTCATCTGTCTTATCTTTTATTTTATTTAAATATATTTCATCAAAAATTCTTTTCTACTCCTAAATCAAAATCAGGAATTTTCATCTGTCTATTTATTTTTTTAATTTCATTTAATTTACTTTCAATCTTTGGATTTTTCATTAATTTAACTTATCGCTTTTATTCTGTTTTTCTTTTTTTAAAATTCTTCTTTTCTTTCAAATCAATATTTATCTTATATTTATTATAATTATTTGAATCTGTCAGTTGTCATTCTTGATTTTTAATTTTAATTAAATAACGTACTTGATAATATGTATTTGTTAACTTCTTTCCTCCCTCCTTTTATCTGTCTGAATTTTAATTTAGACATCATTTTATTTTCTCCTTTCTCCTTTTCTAAAATAAAATTGCTTTTTTTTTCTTTAAAAAACTTTTTTTTTCCCCAAATTTAAATAAGTTTCTATAAATTTATTTTTCTGAATTTTTCCTTCAAAAAGAATTTTACACCTCTATTTTAAACCCTTTTATTTCTTTAAAAAAAAAATTTATCTTTCGTAAATCTTCTTTTAAAAAATTTTAAATAAAGTATTTAAAAATAATTATATATTTATATAATTTATTTATTTTCAAACAAATTTTTTCTATTTTATCTTATTCAAATTTTCTTCATGGTTTTGAGAAAAGAAAATCCTCTTTAATGAAAATTAAAAAATTAAAAAAATCACAAAAAAAATTTTTTCCCATCAATTGACATCTGCTTTAAAACAAATTGGGTTTTAAAAAATTTTTTCAAAGTTAAATTTTATATAATTTATGACTTTCAATCAACCACCGAATTTCTTACGGGAATATCTTTTTTTTTTCAATCTTAATATTTAAAATAGAATTTTATAAATTTTTTTAAAAAATTAAAATTTACAAAAAAAAATAAAACATTTTTTAATGATATTTTTTTTTTCTTTTAAAATTTTAATTTGGAATGATTCTTGAAATTTAAAAAATGAATTAAAATGCAAATTTAATTTAAATCTTTCAATGTTTTTATCATTTCCACGGCGTCCTCCATCAATTTTAATTTAAATTTTGAAAACTTTAATTTGTTTTTATCTAAAAAAATTTGATGTTTCTGAAGATTTAATTAAATTCAGAATGCATTTAATTACTTAAAATTTTCTGGTAAACAAATTAATTTTAACGCTTTTGACATTTCAAAGTAAACATTTTTTAATAAAATTGGGCCAAAACAGGCGAAATATATATAAAATCTTTAAAGATTTTCTTTTGATAAAAATTAATTTTTAAAATATTTTTCAATAGGGAAAAAATGATTTTCAAAATTAGATTTCTTTTCAAGGACAAAATTAAAACCTTAATAACACGGTATTATATATATATATATCCATATATATATATATATGATTTAAATAAGCTAACATTGTTTAAGATTCATTCAAAATAATTAGCAATATTCAAATGGAATATATTGAATCATATTATTATATATTCCAAAATATATAGGAAATATAAAATAAAAATTATATAGTATATATATATATTTAGAAAAATAAAAACCTTAATAGATGGAGGAATATTTTTATATATTTAAAAAATGGGAAATGCTTAATTTTTATAAAAAATTTTTATAATAAATTTTAATTTTATTTGAAAATTAAATTTATTCTAAAACATCCTTTTTGAATATTTTTTAAAAAAAACGAGAAGGAAATGTTCAATATTTAATGTTTCCTTATTTTCTGCAGCTATAACAATATTTTAAATAACATTAAAAAATGCAAATTTTTAAATTTTAATAATTACATTTAAAAATGGCAAATTATTTAAACACTACAATTTTATTTTTGATTTTCTCACATCTTTATATTTAAATTTAAAAAATAAAATATAAATAAAAATAAATTTTAACATAATCATTTTAAAATTTCAAATTTAACAAAACAAAATATATATATATATATTAATTTATTTAAATTTTCTTAATTAATTTAAACGAAATAATTTTCGAAATTTTTTCTTTCAAGCTGATTTTTAATTAAATTTTTTTATTTTAATTTTTTGGAAAAAATCATTTCTAAAATCACAGAATTCAAAAAGGGTTTTTCAAGGATTTTCGATTTTTTTAAAAGGAAAATATCATATAACATAAAAGACAGATATCTGAATTTTTGAATTTGTAACATATTATTTTTACAAACTTGGAATTGATACAATTAAATAATAAAAATTAAATATTGGAACGCTATTTAAATTTTTTTTGATAAATACATAAATCTGTTTAACATTATTATTTTTATATATTTGTGATTAAAATATTTAAAAATTTTATTATATAATCAATTATTTTTTTTAAAAATGTAAATTTTTAATTGCATATTTCTGAATAAAGTCTAAATTTCATAGCTGCTTCCAGGTTTAAAAAGGAGTGTTTATCTTTCAAAATTACAATTTTTTTCTGGAAAAAAATAAATTTAAAAGAACTTTGAAAATTTCGTTGTATAATTTCCCAAAAGCAATCGATTTAAATTTAATCATAAACTAATTTGGCGAAAGAAAAATTTTACTAAACAAAACATGAATTTTTTTTTATTCATTTGACTTTTTTATTTGCTGTTCGATAAAAGTGACTCACCTTTTTTTTTTTTTACTAAATGTTCTCTTCTCCGATGAAACGAAAGTTGAGCTAAATTCAAAGGATAAGCGATCTAAAATCCGAAGAAGAAGCTTTGGAAGCTCTTTGAATTTAGCAGTAAGTACTGTCAAGCATCCGTTCAGTATGATGTTCTGGGGATGCTTTTCTTTTCATGGAACTGGTTTCTTAAAACCTATTGAAAAAGACCCTCAGGAGCGAGCAGTACAAGAGAATTTTAGAGTCTTGTCTGCTCCCTTCTGCTGAAAGGGTGCAAATCGACCCCACCAAGCTCATTTTTATGCAGGATAATGCTCCCTGTCACAAATCAAAATTGATGAAGGAATACTTTTATAAGAAGCAGGTTAGGGTTACGGACATGGCCACCCCAATCTTCTGACTTCAACCTCATAGAAAACTTATGGAGAATTATAAAGTACAAGCTCTCGAGAAAGCAGTTGAGCAACAAAGATGATTCGATTGTGAATTTCATATCCGAATGGAATTCAATGCTTGGAGATGAGATTTGCCAGAACCTAATCAAGTCAATGCCAAAAGGGTTGAAAAGGTTATTCAAAATAAAGGAGGACCTATAAATTACTAAATATTTCGAACTATATTACCTATTATAAATAAATTATACCTCTATTATTCTTTATTTAAAGCTGTTCGGTTATGTTTCTATTGATTACTAGTTGCAGGAAATAAGTGAGTCACTTTTTTTTTTTTAGAGTTTTTCCCTAAATCTCATTTATATCCAAAATTATAATTATCAATAGAATACCTTAGGGTGAGTAAACTTTTTTTACTAGGTGGTCGGGAAGGGTCTTTTATATTAGTAAGATTAAAAATTAGTTTGACCCAAAAAAAACAATAGAAAAAAAAAATTTTTAAAAAAAAAAATCAGGTGAGTCACTTTTTATCGAACAGCACTGTATATATATATTAATTGTATATATATAATATATTTATATATATATAAAAATATAAATTAATGTTATATATTAAATCTTTCATCAATTTTTTTCAATTTAATTTTTTAAATTTAAAAAGA